GGCGCTCCCGCCGAGGGTTCGGATCCCATATGGAGACCGGTTCCCGCCCACTGGCTGAGCAAGGTGCGGGCGCGACACCAAGGGTTGCGATCCCGTTGCCGGTCCCTGGTACGGGCGCGACACTGAGGGTTGCGATCCCATTACCGGTCAGTAAAAAAGACAAAAAGGAAAAAATATATATATATATTGTTTGCTAAAGTAACTAACTTTATATTTTGACTCAAAAATATTTCAAATATTTCAAAAATGTTTTCAGATATTTTGAGTTAGATCTTATATATATGGTTGTTCTTGGTCCCTGCCCTCTCTAGCTATAAAATTGCCCAAATTTGTAACCTGAATAGTGAACTCTATTGGCTCTGAGAGCAAATGTCAGAATTCAGTAGGCTGAACAGAGAATGCCTGCCTTCCATTCACAAACTGTAGTTTTAGAGTGTTTGAGAATAGCACTTCAGCCACTAAAAACCATACAGGAAAAAGAATCTGTCCCAGACTACCATCTCAAATTACATAAAGGAGTGGAAGTGTTAAAGTGTGGGTAGATGTTCCTATAGCAGACTGCTGGGTTAATCTTCTCTGGAAGTCTCCCAGAAATCTTTAGCCCCAGGTAGAGCAAATTGCTGCAGACTTCTGATATTTACAAAGGCTAAATGTCTGCACTGTAGTCAAGCTATAAGAAATCATTTGCAACATGTCTGTTTTCATTACCAACAAACTGCCTGTGGTCCTCTCAATATCACAAGAGCAAATCCTGAAGTCAGGACTATTAAAATGTTAAATTTGTTATTTCCAGGGATTGTTCCATGTATTATTTATCTTAGTTCCTAAAGAACTTAATTGTGGGTTTTACCTATTTATCAGTCCTAAAGTTTGTCTTTTCTAGTACTTCTAGAGAGGCAACAAGCTTATAGCATACACAGGCTTGGCAGCTGTGCCTCAGTTGTGGTAAGAACAGAACACCTCTCAATCTAACCTTCTTTATGAGAGCTAACAAAATGTTGGTTATCCCAGAATTTGCTCACAAATGAACAAAGCCAATATAGTTAAGCATATTGGTTTTATTTACTTTACTCTCCATGTGGTAAGATACTTATACTAAACCTTTAATTTACTAGGAAAGAGAATTTAGGAACTGGGCATCCAGCAGTATTCCCTAGGAACTAACCACTGTTCTTTCTACCCCCTTGAATGGGAAGGGTATGATGGAGGAACCAGGAAGAAAGTGATAAAACATACATGTAGCAAACTCCTGCCAGTCAGCAAGTTCTAGTCCCAAAAAGAATTTCAGTGTACCTCAGTAGGAGAAAGAAAGAAAAGTATAAAAGGTAGAACATCTGCTTCAGTCCAGGAGCTGAGCATGAAAACCAGTCACTGAAAAGACGGGGAGATCAAGGAAAGATCCAGAAGCATTATGTAACAGGCACAAGTCAGGTATACAAGAAATATATTTATTTGATTCAATTTAAATTGTACTCTTGAGCACCTATACTATAGAACTGGCAGGAAATTTTTTTAAGCCATAACTGGGACTCACTCTAAGAATTATGTCAAGGCACCTGGAGGGACTTAAGCAGCACCAAAGCATCAGGAAGACACATTTGGTCACTAATCTGCATGGGATACATCTAGAGTATCCTTAAGACATCGTTAGACCTCAGGTATTTGCTCCTTTATGCCGTGCTAACAGCACTGGGATCATGGGCAGCCTGGAGCCTCTGGGCAGCTGGTTTCCATGGGTATATTTCACAGCCATCCCTTTTGAAGTCTGGCCACCTCCTCAACATACTGCCTTCTAAACAGGGTGGGAGGGAGGGGCCCTTGCTGCTTGTGGGACCCACAGACCTCTCCCCAGTTAAAGAGAAATGACTCTTCCACCATTATTACCCTAAAGATCTCTCCCCACCTCCACGTCACCCTGTCCCACATAGCCTTTTTGAAGAGTTTACATTTTTACAAAACATTGAAAGTTTCACTTAAACACTATCTGCTTTTTGCCCCCAAAAATAAAGAATCATATTTTACTATACATTTTCCACAACCTACAGAATTAGGAATTTTTTGTTTGTTTTTTGTGTCTGTACGGTGCGGGAATCCAAACCCCCGACCTTGGTGTTACAAGGTGGTGCTCTAACCAACTGAGCTAGCTGGCCAGCCCACCACAACCTACAGAATTATAAAACAGCTCAAAGACAACGAAAGGTGCCGGTAACTCGGAAGGATGCACTAAACTGGACATGAGTAATCTTTTTCGCCCATTTCAAAGTCTTGATTTTTCCTGACAGTGTCTACACCACCCCATATGATCAAAATAATCCCAGAGATCATTACTGATCACAAAAAAAGGCTGGTCTTGCTAGATTTCCCTGATTAATTAGTAGCAAATGTGTTAATTAATCCCCTTGAATTTGTTTTGCAAATACAGGACCTTGCAGACATAGAATATTTAAAAGTAATTCCAGACAAATAAATGCAATAAATTTTTCCTTATTATTTCATTCAGTCCTATGTCATTCTTGTTCTGCTAGATCTTAGGTTAGCAGTCTGCTTCTTATAAAACTCATTTGCTTCCTGGAATTCCCAACTCAGTCTACTGTTACTGTATAAAAGTTATCTAAGCTATATCACCTCAGAAACCTTTGTTGCAGACACAAACTATTGACTGTAGCTTATAGCAGAGCAAGCATCAGAGTAAAACAAACTTTCTATAGATGAGAGGTACTTGATGGCTGTGCTTAATTTACTACTGTAACCAATAATATCAGA